TCCAGGTGGACACCTTCTCCCCCAACCAGCACGGGGACTACATGGAGCACGTGCACTCCTCCAGCTGCCAGGTCAAGGTCTTCAAGGTGGGACTCTGCTGCCCCCGTGAGCCCAGCCCCTGCCCCCAGCCTCCTAGCCCCTAACCCTAACCCTAACCCTAACCCCTCTGAACCCGTCTGCCTCTCAGCCCAAAGGAGCCGACCGGAAGCTCAAGACCGACCGAGAGAAGGTGGACAAGAAGACGCCTCAGGACAGAGAGAAGTACCAGACCTCCTTTGAGACCACGCTGCTGACAGAGGTACGCCGGGGGGGGGGGGCTCCTCCCACTGGCACCTACACGTATGAGCCTATTAGATCTGAGTGTTCGACTCCTCTGGTGCCCCCCCCTGCATGTTAATGAGTGCGGGCACGGCTTCTCTCCATGCTGCGGGTGTCTGTCAATGATTGGGGCTCTGGTGGTGCGTCACCTCTGTCAGTCCTGTTTATTCTCTGTTATCCAATAACCCGTCAGAGCATCATGTCAGATCCACCAGTGGCTGCAAACCACAGTATTAAAGCTCTGCATTCCCCACAGAACAGCCCTGAGGGGCTCAGGATGTCGTCCTGATCAAGAAGGAACCCCATGTTTTCAGAAAAAAAAGAAAAAATACATTTTCCTTTCAGTTTTAATGTTTATTCATCAGTCTGAAAAGAGAAAAAGACCAGCAACAACAAACAGCTTTTGACATTGTAGACTAAATAAAATAAAAAAAGACCTGCTAGTATTAAAGGCGAACAATTGTAGACTAAATTTGAGACAAAACCACCTGTGGTGCAGGTTAAAGGTCAAAGGTCACTGATGGTTTGTGAGGGCTCTGCTGGGAAAGCGTGGCAGCACGGCTCAGAGCAGCTGCCAGCACGGTGGGGGAGGCGCCATGATCGGGGCTGGTGTGAACACCCAGACGTGTCCTGTACGGATGTCTGTTTAGGACCGGACGTGATCCTTCAGGCTCACTGAGCTTTGAGCTGTCAGTCTGAGCTCAGCTCTGGTGGAACCAGGTCCTTGTCCTTCCTCAGACCAGATCCATAACCCCCCCCCCCCCCAGTGTGTGTGACGTGGTCTGAGCTGTTCTGTGGTGTGTGTGTCCCTGAAGTGCTCCCCGTGGCCCGACGCGCTGAGTGTCACCACCCCCAGCAGCAGCGCTCCCTCCCCCGTCTACAGCTCCCCGACGCCCTGCGCCTTCAGCGAGGGGTGAGTCACACACTAACACCCCCCCCGTCCCCCGTCCCCCGTCTCCTGACCCTGGTCTGGTTGTGGCCTCTGGTTGTGGCCTCTATGTCCTCAACCAGAAGTGTCCATATTTGCACTAGAGGGTGGAGGACAGTGATCAGAGGAGTGAATCCTTACGGTGGAAACTTGATGGAAAAAGCTTTAGCTTTATCTCACTGTGAGAAC